AGAGCCTAAGGGCTACACTACTGAACTGGCGGAGACCCCCTCGTCTTACTGGCAGCTCGCCACATACAGGCAGCTCCCAAAGCCTAAGGAATTGGATCAACACTTACTAGCTCGTCGACTTACAGGCCAAAAGAAATCTACTCCCTTCATTGAGTTACTCTCAGCTCGGGAGTGGGGGGCAATTGATGAGGGCAGATTTGGCCCTCCAGTGAAATTGCGACACGTGGCACCTCGTACAACTAGGCAAACACCCAGGCAACAACTTACCAAGTTGGTGCCCCCCCCCGGGCACCGGTCTGGCTGGCCTGGCGTGACCTGCACGCAGCCTATGGGCGGCCTGCGCGCGACCTGGCCAGATCAGCCTGCCACAGGCGCCGACCTGGCAACCTGGCCCGGACACAGGCGACGACCTAGCAACCTAGCCCGGACACAGGCGCCGACCTGACAACCTGGCCCGGACACAGGCGCCGACCTGGCAACCTGGCCCGACCACCGATCCACCGACTGACACAGGCGCCGACCTGGCAACCTGGCCCGAACACTGACCCACCGACCTGACAACCTGGCCCTGGCGCCGACCTGGCCGCCTGACACAAGCGCCAGCCTGACAACCTCGAGGAGTTCATCACCGTACCCCGATTCTGACGGGATATGACGTCTTACCGTTTTAAGGCTTTTCACCCACCTAACCCGCGAGGGCACCTGTATATAAGGACTCTCACCTCCAAAGCCAACGGGGAGGAAAAAGGATGGTAACCCCCGCTCTCTCGCTCTCTCATTTCTCTCCAAGCCCTCTGTAATCAAAATGCTAACTTAGGCATCGGAGAGTCCTAGCCGGGAAAATACCCCCGGGTCCTCTGATTCAGTTCTCGCAGGTCCCTCAGCTCCTGCCGCCTACAAAGGAGAGAAAATCACCCCATGCGGAGGGTAGTCGGGTAGCGCTGCACCAGGGAGCTCCACCATCCTCTGAGTTGCAGGCCGCCTAGGAGCAAGTCGAGTGACGAGTCCACCAGGCAGTTCGCCCCAAGGCAATTCGCCACCAGGGAGTTCGCCACTAGACAGTTCGCCACCAAACAGTTCGCCACCAGGCAGCTCACCACTAGGCAGTTCGCCATCGCAGTTCGCCACCAGGCAGCTCGCTACCAGGTAGTTCGCCACCAGGGAGTTCGCCACCAGGCAGTTCACCCCCAAGCAGTTCGCCACCAGGCAGTTCGCCACCAGGCAGTTCGCCCCAGGCAGTTTGCCACCAGGGAGTTCGCCACTAGGCAGTTCGCCCCCAGGCAGTTCGCCACCAAGCAATTCGCCACCTGGCAAATCGTCACCAAGTAGCTCTCCACCAAGGAGCTCGCCACCGGCCAATTCGCCACCAAGCAGTTCGTCACCAAGCAATTCTCCCCGAGGGAGTTCGCCACCAAGTAACTCATCACCAAGGCACGTCACCATCGGGTCAAACAACAAGGTACTTAGCCAAAAAATTTATACATCACAAAAAATGGTACATGACCAAAAACGGTTACATCAGGATCGAATCCCACCTACACCAGGGTTGGGGGATGGGCTACCTCAATTGTGTAGCCCTTGAAAAAAAAACAAATATGAGAGCAAAATGTCTCCCAATAAATAGAAATCTTATATATAAGGCAATTGGGTGCTTAAGGGCATTTTAGTCATAAAAATATGTTTAATAAGACTGATTCACCATTCAAGAACAGTTTGGTCATCAAAATTGCATTTACAATTGAAATGGACAACTTCTATAAATGTACACTAACTGTGCTCTAAATGATGGTGAGTTTTGAAAAACAAAAACTTACATGAATATTTTGAAAAAATATGGTGAGTTTTGTAAAACAAAAACTTACATGAATATTTTGAAAAATTATGGTGAGTTTTAGACAATATCTTTTTTATTTCTCTTTTGGATTTGGCGCCACACCTATCTCACATCAAGTTATAATTCTTTTAGATTTCAAAACCAATTGTTAGGAAGTACTTTTTCTGAATAATTCTTTTTTTTTTAACACACACAAAGCTACTTCATTAATAAGGAAAGCAGGTTCTCAATACAAAAATTCACAAAGATTACATCCATCAATTCGTTAATCTACGGTCATGAACTTTAACTGTAGTCCCAAAGAGGAAAAAAGAAAAGGCTTTCTAACTGTGGACACTCTATTCATGTCGAGTTAGAGGAAAACGCAAAAAATAAAAGAAAAAACTAATAATCTACTCTTGTCTCATTCTTTCACTCTTTCCTCCTGTCCAGCTCCAACTCCAGCTTAGGGGATAAAATAAAAGAATCTAGCTGTTATCATCAGCAGCAACACCCTTCGAAGAACCGGTTCCAGTCTTCTTCGGCAGCAAGAGGTTATGAATATTGGGCATCACACCACCATTTGCGATCGTAACGGCACCCAGCAACTTGCTTAGTTCTTCATCGTTTCTCACCGCCAACTGAATATGCCTCGGCACTATCCTTGTCTTCTTATTATCCCTTGCTGCGTTTCCAGCCAATTCCAAAACCTGTTTTCAAGAATTATTAGTATAATTTATTCAATTCAATTCTTCAAACAAAGGAATCGTCTAGGAAAAGATGAACCTCGGCTGCGAGATATTCGAGAACAGCGGCGAGATACACGGGGGCACCAGCACCGACTCTCTCTGCGTACTTGCCGGCTTTCAGAAACCTAGCGATCCTACCAACCGGAAACTGTAGACCGGCCTTGCTGCTTCTCGATGTTGCCTTCTTCGACGCTCCGGCTCCAAGAGACTTTCCTCGTCCGGCCATATTGAATTTTCAGGAAAGAAATTTTGCAGAAGACTAGGATGGTCGATGGGCAGGGGGGAAGGGAAGAGATAAAATGAGAGGGAGCCCTTGCTGAGAAAAATCAGTTTGCGTTGGTTGGGGCCTGGGGGGGATGTTTGAATGTCCCATTCCTATCGATAATTTATATATGTGTTCAATGATATTAGCCAATAGGAACCAACGACGCGGATCGTAATCTGATACCGTTCGTTTCAAGTGTACATGAACGGTTGGATGCAATTTATATGTAAATTTTCGGGGAACTTGGATTTATTTATTTATTTTGTTAAAGTTGGATTTATTGTTTGGGTGAACGTGATTGGATCACTCTTCACAGTCGGAACTGGAGTTGTACAGTTGGAGCGAGTGAGAGGTAACGGGATCTGCTACTCACAAATAGGCGCCTCACAGGCACATCCACCGTGAGAGCGACTTTGCTCAATAATCCAACTGCATGTATGAGCCGGATCACCTGCCGATGAAATACGTTTCAACACCCTCATACATGGCGCGGGTCCCCATCTCATGCTAAGATTGTGCGGTGTCAAAAAAGTGTTGGAAGGGTGTTATAACGTATTTTATTGACAAGTGATGCCAATTCATTTTCATATATGTCCAGATCACCCCGGTCAATGAAGGAAAAACTTTATCTGTTGGGAGCTAACGGCCTATGATATTGAGAGAATTTTTGGAAATTTTAATTATATCTTAATTTATTTTGACTAAAAACTAAAGCATGGGCATAAATAGGTGAATTGTCCAAAACATGCCCAGCCCAAAAAATGTCTTGTTGAGCCCCAACAGCCAAAGTTAACCTAAAGAATACGTTACAACCAAGGTTCAAAGTATCAGAAACGCAAAGTGTATTGGAAAGGTAATTTTAAGAGACATATCAAGATACGCTTTGGAAACGTATAGATACAGACGAAAAATCAATATACACATGTATACACTAGAAAATCTCAAAAAATCTTTAAAAATATAAACAATAATAAAAATGAATTTTATGTAAGTATAACTAATTTATTTAAACATAAAAACCATTCTTTAATGATTTATATAAAGTATCATGATATAATTAGTAACCATTGAAAAATAATAGAAGAAGTAAAATGTTTGTATATATACTAATATTTATTAGTTAATATTTTTTTAAAATCATTTATTAGTTAATATTTATTATATATAGATTTAGATAATATTTATTATGTATACAAGTTAATATATACTTTAACTTTTAATAAATCAATATAACTTGTATTCATCTTATTATTATATAAATATTAATAATCAAATTTATAGCATTTGTCAGGAAACCTCCACCAAGGCAAGAAAGATTACTTTTAAGTATAAAAAAAACATGTCTTTCTAATAAATAATTAATGTTGGCATAATGGTTAATTAATTATTGTTATAAGCAAATGACTTAGGTTCAAAACTTGTTACATTTGGTTTGTAATTTTTAACAAGTTATTTCACTTAAATAACATTTAATGACATTATTAAATGTTGTAATCAAAGGTAACTTAAATGAGCATTTAATTAAATTATATAGCATATGTATCGGCGTGTTTCGGATTGTATCAGCCGATACATACCCGAACGGCCCAATACAAAGCCGATATGGACCCATATTGGTCCGATACAAACGAAAAAATACGAAACCCTGTATTTAGACATGTCCCATGTATCGGAACTCTTCCAAAACGATACGTATTTGCAAAATTTAAAACCTTGGTTACAACACCCTCATACATGAGTGATGAGATCTACTCCTCACAAATGGGCACCTCATAGGCACATCCACCGTGCATTGGGAACATCTCCCATGAATAATAACTAATAAGTACGGGAGATGTTCCCAATGCATGATAGAACGTGTGTGTGAGGCACCATGTGTGAGGAGCAGATCCAATCTTCATACATGGTGGGCCCCGCGGTGTCAAATGTGTAACATATTTTATAGGAGTCCAGATTTTCTCCTCACAGCCTGACGCCTCCAAACGTCCTCACAAAATGTGAGGATGCCATGCATCCTCAAACACATGTGAACTTTATACACGAGTGGAGGAGCCTAACAGTCTTTAGGCTTCCATTCTGTTAGTCCCTCTCCCCCCTACCCAAGCCTAATTCAGCACTTTCTAGTTTTCTGTTTAATTCCCGCCTAAAGCCCTTGCCTCTCCTCTTTTCTCTCCAGGAACGAAAGAATGAAACCCTAATGCCCTCCACCGGTTATAGTGTTTTCTCTAGCGGCTGGCGATCTCACCGGTGAGAATAGATTCCGGCAACAATACCCTATGGTCATCGATGAAACGAGACTCCAACAATTCTGCTTATTTCTCTTTTCTTGCACGAACTCTCATCCCTATGCAACTACAACATTAGTCCATTCAGCATCTACGTCTATACTGAATTCAACAACCTACAACTTTCATTATTGTTGAGATAGTAGTTCTCATATGGAAATAGAATCTCTAGAAGAATTAAATGTGAATCCTAAACCTATTACTCAAGGAGTTACTAATCAGGGACTGTCAAAGGGGAAGCATGCCTATTATTTGAAGCAACGTGAAAGGTTAGCTGATGGACATGATGGACATGTTGATCGTGCAAAAGCACCTTCCCATATGGATAATAAAATAGCTGAAGTAAAGTCTTTAGATTAATTTTCTGATATACAATCTCATGATCCATCAACCAAAAACTCATCTTCAAATATGAAATAGGAGTCCTCTAAATTAGAAAAACCAGAAAAGGCTGTAAGTGGTAAGGGGACATCTAGAACTCGTAAAAAGAATTTATGATCTTGACTTATTCTTTGAAATTAATGGGAATCTCTACCAGAAACTTGGAAAGATTGGGAGTGGAGGAAGCAATGAGGTTTACAAGGTCATCTCATCCAATTGTACAATCTATAACCTTAAAAGGATCAAACTTAAAGGTCGTGATTATTCTATTGCATATGAATTTTTTCTTTTAGGAGATTCAATATCTAAAGAAGCTAAAGGGAAAGAACAACACTATACAACATATTGACTATGAGATATAGAACTTCTAATCATACACTGTTCCTCTCAATTAAGTCTTAGGTTAATGCACCAATCATGAATAACAGTTATACATTAGAAAAGATTTTGCTGTTGAGTCCCTTCCAATTTGTCATCAAACATAGAAAATAACCCAAGAGAAAGCTGATAACCCAACAACAATTGTTCATGAACTAGTAAAAAATACAATCTATAAGCAAACTAATTGTTCATAATGTCAAAAATAGTCATTCAAACTATGAGAGATTATAGTCACTCCAACTAGAAGTTTTGGCTTCATGAACCGAGTAAAAATCAGTCTAATAAGAATTTGAGTTGTTTGAAAGGAAAAGAAAAATGAAATGGGAAATCGGTGTTGTAGCCTGCATGTGAAAAAGTGATCCCAACTCATTTATACATCTTTATTGTAGTAGGTATTAGTAATATTTTTGCATTGGAAATTTGCGAGTTGAGAAGGATGAAATAGTCCAGATATACTCCTTACACCAACCTCACATCATACTCCAAATATATGTCGAGAATTTTCTGTACTCATATGTTTTTATTTGTTCGGGTAGTGCCCTAACTGGTCAAAACTACCATGTGGGTGTCTCTATGGTCGATGCCCCCGAACCATGTCGACACATCGTTCACCTATAAGTGAGCATAGTTATGTCAGCAAAGACCTTGGAGAGAAGCGGAGTCCCACAAAGACATGGATAAGCACCACCTCCCAATGATAAGTGCTTTCGCCAAGGAAGGCGGAGACTCCTGAAAACCTCGATGAACAGCCTCATCGCATTAATCTCACAAGGATTTTGTCTGGTTACAACACAGACCAGCTTGTCTAATTACATCTCCCCTTATGGTAAAGAATCTTCAACTCTCTACACACCATGATTAAGTTTTAGTTCAAGTTTGATATTTGGCCCATTACACACCATGATTAAGGCTGCATTTGCCATTTGGCATTCATAGTTACTCAAAAGACCAATGGGCTTGTGATGAGCTTATGAAGTTGTAATGCAATATGAAATTTAAATGATTCAGCTATCCAATTTGATATTTTGAATATTGGATGAATAATGGCTTGTGACCGGTTGAATGATTCAACTACAATAACAATAGCAGTCTAGCATAATTTCTCCCAAAATGACTGGTAAAAAAGCTTAAACTTGTAATTGAATTTACTGAACACCATTTCATCCATAAACTGAACTGAACATCACTAATAAAGCTTAAACATGTAACTGAACATCACTAATAAAGCCATCTTAGCTTTTAATAAAGCTTAAACCTATTACTGAACATCATTTCAGCCATAAATTGAACTGAGCATTACTAATAAAGCCATCTTAGCTTCTAATAAAACTTAAACCTATAACAAAACATCATTTCAGCCATAAACTAAACTGAACATCATTAATAAAGCTTAAACTTGTAGCTGAGCATCACTAATAAAGCCATCTTGTCTTCTAATAAAGCTTCTAGTTCCAATAAAGCTTAAACTTGGAACTGAACTCCATTAATTTTTGAACATAAAAACAAGTAAGGTGTAAAAAAACAATCATTAATTGAACATCATTTCAACCATCCAATGATAAAATTTAAATAAAAAGTTGATGACAAAAGTTGTTCATTAATCACCAATCCAAAATTTCTTGCAGCCATTCAAAAACTAGGTGGCCTAATGGACTTTGGAACTTAATGTTTGAAGAAGAAATGTTGCCAATGACTCAACTATCAAGAAACAAACAAGAAAAATTTGTTTTACATTGTTACTTGGAAAATGAAAATTTAAATTGTAGAAAAAATAATTACACTTGTAAAGATTATTAAGTCTTACAAAAATATCATTTATCATCACTTAATTACACTTGTTCCGTTGTTCCTGASAGTTCTAAAACAAAGAAACAAATATTAGTATGTAACCCAAAAAATTATATAAATTATAAATAATATTATGAAATAAGGTTTATTTACAAGATCACAAATATTACCTAATGCGATTTCTTCATATTTTTCCACTTCATCCATAGCTTCTCGAATATCAATTGGGATTGGTTTGAACCGTAACCAATCTTGG